TTTGAATGGGCGACGAGCTGGAAACGGGGTTTCTGGAGTAATTTCAGAGGTATGACGCACGCGAGCCGCAATTCCCGCGTTCAGGTTGAGACGGCTGACATCAGTTTGCCGCATTTAGCGTTAGTGGGATTAATTGCACGATGCACGAACGTCCGAGCGAAATGAATGCCCGGCAAGGTGGAAAGAATACCGGTCGCGCGATTGGCCGTTCGCGCATCGCGCCTCGTCACAATGATGGTAATTCGAGAGGAAATTCCTCTCATAAATATTTCGACTCGTAAAACAACGTGATGATGCGGAGATATAAAGATATGTCTGCATATGTGTGTGTGTATATTATATGTATGCGTGAGGACCTGTATACAGAGTGTCTCATTTCTACCGTGTTATATTTTAATAACAGATCCTTTGGCCAACTTCGAGTCGATCTTTCCGTAGGAAGAATTACTCCGAAGTCGTTATGCTTTTTATAGGACACGTACCCTACGTACGGCAAAAAGTTGCACTTTGCGTACGCGGTTGACCTTCCTGCGGATCCGAAAAATGCTGAAGAATTTCGGGATTGCAATACCGAAGGCCTCTCGTCTCTTCGCGTTTTCACTTCGCACTTTAATAACAACATTACGAAGCGGTATGACCACGGGTGAGGTAATTAACAAGAATATCAGGTACGATGGTATGGCTCTTTTAATTGCTCCAGTGGAATTTCTATGGCGAAGACAAAGACGCAGTTGTGTCAATTAAAATAAAGATATCTTTTCATACTTCTTTATTGGAGTAAATTTGCAGAAAGATAAGAATTAAGTCAATTACACGAGAATAAAAAAAAAAACAGTTTAAGTTTATGAGGTATAATGTAAAATCATATTTAAATTAAAAGTAAGATAGCAACAGATTTATATTTTACGTTACGTGTAAAAATCTCGGAATTTTTTATAGTTCCTTTATGTCAAAATAAAATTAAGTCAAATTTTACGAATTATTGTTGCTTTTGATAGCGCCCGCATTCTTTTATAAACTACCTGAAGAATTTCTGAGAATACAATGTTATATAAAAATAGTTTCTTTCAACTTATATTGCCGTTCCTTAAAATTAGAACATCGAAAATTTTGATTAAGATTATGCCTATTTGGAATCTAAATCGTCACCCGATAGAGATATGTTGTCATTTTCTAAAAAATGACAATATTTATACCATTAAGTTAATGAAGATAAAAATGTGATTAAATTATAAACTGCGTAAGCTACATAAAATCGCTGCTGCACTTGCCTATACTATTTTAATATTACAATGAACGCTAATATAACGCGCATTATTAAAAATGTGCACTGCAGAAATATTTCTACGCATGTGCAAATATAAGCAAAAGTAAGCGCATTTTGCAATATACATCTTAGACACTCATGTTTTTATGACCGTCTCGTAATTTCACCTTTTTCACCTTTTTTTTTCGTGAACGTGGAATGCATTATCCATTCTACCGGTGACTTGGTAGACGTCGCGAAGACGTTTTTACGGCACACGAACGAAAACCGCGTCTCGAGAAGAGCGCCTCGTCTCTCGTTTCGTGGTCACAGTGTTATCGAAGGTCGCGATTTCTCGCTCAAAATGTCACCGTGCACGTTCAAAGTCCGACAAGATCGTGAAAACTCGAATCGTATTACGAAACCGCGCATGGCCGATAACTCGGGCGTTATCTTGCTCAACGGCGAGCATCTACGACGACGATTCTCGTTATCGCGTATATTGCTTCTCGTGGTTAACAACAAGATGGAGGTGTATCACAACAATTGGATAATTTATTTATCCAATTTTGTTTATCGATCTCCAATTGTGAGTTCACAAGTGAATGAGAAAATTCATTTTCGGCGTCACTGTGGAATCGCGACGATAATGATCTGGTGTTAATGTTACGCGTTCCTTCGTCATCATGATGGTTCGTAATAATTTTATCTACATTATATTTTGCGAACAATGGAAAATGTGTGAATTGGGGCAAAAGCAAAAGGACAGAGCGAGGGACAGAGAAAAAAGATACTTGTACAATTCCTGTTGAATCTATCGAAATATTATTGTCGCTTTTCCTTTTAATAGTGTAATAGTAACAGTTAAATACTAAAAATAAATAGCGCGCGCGTCTGTGATGTCTAGTATAGTAACTTGTGTTTCTTTATCTCTTGAAGTTAAACCACATCAGGATATCAACAGCGCAATGTTCTTAAATTCTATTCATCGATGTGTAAAACAGTATACGTTTTTTATGTGTTACAATAAAGGGCCAAGATACACATTTTGGAGTAATTATTTACATGGAAGCTCAATTGCACGGGGAGATACGGCAACAGGGTACCGCGTGCCGCCGTGTAGTTGCGAATAAATAACGGTGTTTAAACAGGACGACCGTCTCTCGAAAATTATGAGGTCGCCCCGTGGCTGTTGCGGCCCGTGACTCCGGTGGAATCCCGTGTTTTGCGCACGGAAGGGGAGAATGCAGCTGCACCGGCGATTAGTCGAACGTGTGACGTCAATGGCTTGTCTTTGCGAAAGTCTCGAGAGGGAGGCAGCGAAACTCAAGGAGAGCCATTAAATGGTTCTCCATGGGAGCACCGTTCTCGCACGTTTGCCACGCAAGTGTTTCACCGGCGAAGCCAATTAGATTTTCCGAAAACTCCATCGTTTCTCGGTAACAGAATATTAATTGCATTTCATAATGTACATAGTGATAGCAAGAGAGTAATGAAAAAACATAGAGCGTCTGTTCAGTTCGCTGATTACGCGAAGAAAAGTGTCCGAGCAATATTCAAATATAAATGTCTCGATGTTAATGATCATATTTGGTCGAAAGTGTTGATCGGGCGTTTTTCAGAGACGCGAATATATATTTTCACGGTTGGGAGTCGCGGCCGAGTCTCATGGCTTCGCGCGAGGTAAATCCAGGAAGGTTCTCTCCCGAGAGAGCATCGTTCTTAGATTCCATCAGTATATAGATAAACATTCTCTTTCTCCTCGCGGAGCCTTTCGAGAGGGGCCCCAGGAGAGAATAAGCAGTACGCTTTTGCCGTGCTCGCTCGTATCTCTTTGGAGCTCCCATCCCGTTGCGCTCGTGTACGCGTGCGTTCAGCGTGCACGTGAGAGAAGCGCTCTCGTGTCCGTACGATCAAAGTGGGAGAGGTATTGTGTCTCTACGTTGTCTGAGAGCCTGCGCGCGCGCGCGAGCGCGCTTGTGTGTCTGTGGGCATAATCGTTTATTTCGCGTCGACCTTTGCGGGGCACTACGTCAAAATGTCAGATGCGACCCCGCCTGAGCGCGAGGGAAGATGCACTGGGAACGCTGTAATGGGCTTACAAAGCGTAACAAACTGATGCGAGGTCAAACACACGACGGGCAATAAACACACGTAGAGATAAATGGGCCCTTAAGGTGCACCACACCGGGCCCGCCGGGAGGCGGGCGTTTCGTCTCTCCTCGACGCGCCGTGCCGCGCCGCGCTGTATCTCCGACGTTTTGTTCGCCACGCGAGATGAGCGCCGACGATCTGAGGCCGCGATACCCGAAACTCGCGCTTGTCCCGCCCGTTTTCAGAAATCAACGTTCTCGCAAGTAAATGCGGCCATTTATACAGAAACAACGACCTCCCTCCTTCAAATGTGAATGCTTTAGCTGTTTAGCAGATTTATTATTAGAGATTCTACCTTTATCTATATGTATAAATATATATTTCTAGATATATTCGAAACATATATACTTTTCCTGAACATTAGCATTGCGACTTTTTCTTTTTCATGCCGCGACATATTTCTTCTTGAGCTTTATATCGACTTTCTCTTCATGAGAATTTATGCATTCCGCAATGTTCATAATTCATCTTTAACTTTTATACTACACTCCATCGTGTCCCCTCGTTCACATTTCTCATGTAAGTTTATCAATGTAAGTACAGCTAAGTGTAATTGATTACAAGTAATTTTTAGTTTGATCCTCTCTGCAGTTAATCTCCCTGGTTTCGTTAAGTCTCGAAACGGTCGCGCAGACAGGAACGGCGCAGTACGATTGCCGTGAGCCCGTGAGCGACTCGCGGAGCGTAACAAACTGACGCGGGGTCAAACGCATGACGGGCAATAAACACGCTGAAAGATAAACGGGCAATCGGGTCCAGCCCGGGGGCCCAGGTCTCGGGGAAAGTGTTTCGTCCGCGGTTTTCGCTTTCGCGCAGATCGATATGAAGAACAACGCATCGTCCGGACTACAAAAGGCGGCCAGGTTTATTGCCTCCTCTCTCTGTCTCTCCCCCTTCCCTCTTGTACGTTTATAACGTACGCTCGCGTTCAATTTACGATTCAGCCGCGAACGGTTATCGAGGCTCACCTTACTCGTTACCGCCGCGCTATCTCCTGTGGGAATTATTTCTGCTAGAGACGATGCTTGGAAACGTGTTGCGAAATCCGACCCGATTATATCCGTTATTATCCGCGTGGAGAGACACATCACATTTTTACAGAATACGACCTTCACGGAAGTGATCGAATAATCGGATAATCTGGGGCGCGATATCCGATGAATGTTGTATAATTGAAATAATGCCTTCCACGAGATAGTTACAATGTGAAATGATTGAACAAGCTTTCAAGGAATAGGTATTATAGGTAGTAGTCCTTTTTCTCTCTATGACGCGTCTCTTTCTCATTGCTTATGCAACGTTACCGCGGCCGGTGCCAGCGTTATGCGTCCGTCATAGGCGCGATCGCCGGCCGGCCACCACAAAACCACAATCGCACTCTAATTGCGAACATTAGCCACTTACGGTCGGAGTACCCCTCGTGGATACTCTCGGATCGATCTAGCCTTGGCCGCGACGGACGCGAGAAACGTGTCTCGCACGTCAGGCGGCGGGCGGGCGTCTTAGCGTGCCGCTTTCTCTTCGCCATAATTTTTTTTTGCAAGCTAATCGTGCCGAATGACGGGTATGTGCGATCTATGATCTTCGATTCTCTTTTCAGATGCCGCAGACGGTGCCCACCGCGGCCGGCTACTCGCCGTCGTTCGACTACAGCACTTTTCAGTTCGATTTGTCCCTCCTGCCGGACGATTACAGCCCGACCGGCGGCCAGGCCTGCCTGAAGAGCTCGCAGATCAAGCAGGAGGCACGCTCGCCGCGCTCGGCATCGCCCACGACCTACCAGAGCCCGCCGTATCCCAACGGCGAGTTGCCGTTGTCGCCTAACTACTCGCACGAGGGATCCTCGCCGGGATACCCGACGAGCCCCTACTACGTACCCAGGAGCCCTCAGAGCGCCCAGTTTTATCCCACCAGCCCGGAACCGTCGGCCAAGCAGCCGGTCAAGAGGGAGAAGAGCCTCGATCTTTTGGCCATCCTTCAGGAATCCAGGTAAACGTCGCGATTTGTTTTATGATTATGCTAGACAGGTATCCGAAATTCATTTATTGTTAGAGGCATACAAATGCTTAAAGGAATTTAGTCCATTTATTCGTAACGGGAATATCTAAGAACTTTTTTTTTTTATTAGGACTTAGAGCTCTTTTGGGATTACGTACACTGAGAAAAAAAAATCGTTGATTCAAAGAAATATTATTTGATTTAACTAAATGCAGCGGTCACGGGCTGTCAAGCAAACATTTGTTAATTCAAAAAATATTATATTGAAATAAATGCAGAATTTCTTAATATTACTCACGTATATTTGATTTAAATATATTAATATTTGCATTAAACAAATCACTACAACTAAACGAGTTTAGTCAAATTAACGACATTTTTTTCTCAGTGTATGATCGTTACGCGCGACAAGACTGCGATTGAAAATCTCTAATTGTTCGCATTTAGCGCCATGATTCTGGGCATTATTATTTATAGCGTTTCTTCGTCGTCCTCTTCGTTCGTAATCTTTTAACGTGAATGGATCGCGCGCATTTTCGCATGATTACAGACTCTTGGCCGAGAGTCTGGGTTACCGCGAGGACTCAACCGACTGCACGGTGCCCTGTACTCCGCCTCGAAGCGAGGAGGACATCTATAACAGTCTCGACGCCGACTTCCTGCCGAAGAAGGAGGACCCTGGCGTGCAGGGACACCCGCTGCTCAAAGAGATCCTCTTCAAGGAGGAGCCGCGATCCGTTTCTAGCAGCAACGGTTCGTCGCCGTCCTCTTTGTCCTCCTCTTCATCTTCGCCCAGTCCCTCGAGCGAGTTCGAGGGTAGTTCAACGTTGCACGAGCTTCTCTTCAAAGGCGTTGTCCTTCGTAAAGATTTGACGGAGAAGACGAGCCAACCCAAGGTGGAACGAGAATCGCGGGAGGAGCTGGCGAATCCTCTGCGAAAGGAGGAAGAGCTCTTCAAGGACGGCCAGAAGAGCGATCATCAGCTGCTGCGGGAAGTGTTGAGGGACACCAGTTTCCAGAGGAAGTACAATCTGAGACCCGTCGATCTCGGCGGCGTCGGCACTGGCTTCGTCGAGGATATGGAGGCCGGCGAGTGCGTCGGTGATCTCGCCCGCGAGCAGCTCGAGCCGGTTCTCAGTCTGGCCATCCAGCAACTGCAGAAGGACTTCGACAACACTTGCGTGGCGCTCGGCATTCACCCAGGTGAGTCGACTCTTTCTGTTAAAATTCTATAAAAGTTTAATTAGAATTCTACAAGACCGTTTTCTCTCTCGTTGTTCGTATTTCGACGTATCGCTTGATTATCCACATTCTTCTCATTGAAGCACAGAAAGTAGCTTTGAAAACTCAAAAAATGGAATCTTTTCGTAAGGTTGTGCGAACCGAATTAATCGAAACATCAAAAGTAGCGATCCATGCGTATTCGTCATAATCATGAATGCTGGATAATGAAATAAAGAGCCGAATTGATAAAAGATGTGATATAAAATCACACATCTTATGATTATCGATACTATCACGCTGGCGATTAATTGCAAGTAATGGAGAGTAAGTGCGTATATCCTTATATAAGCACGCCATTTCTATAATAGTCTCCGTGACAATGACTACAATCACGTGCGCGTTAATTATTATCATTATCAATCTCATGGTAATCGTCAAGTAAGATTTATTCCCGCGTTTCTTAAGGTTTTATCATTACATCTTTTACTATGATCATCTCGGACAATGTAACTCGCAAGAATTATCCGTCTACACGATTTTCGATCGTGTCGTTTTATTACGCGGTGAATTTTGTAGCGTTTATTATCATTCCACAACTTATGAAAGTACTAAAATCGAGTCGAGACGCCTTTTTCTTCAATCTGTCTCTCAAGCTGCTTATCGTGGTCATAGTTCTGATGCAATGGCTGAGATTCGTTTGTATCTCACTTCTCCATCTATAAACTCTCTCTTCGTAATCAGATACCGTGGAAATTCACTCCGTGCCACTCGATGATGTATGGACGACATGATTACGAGCGAGCCATCAGAAATTCCGACGCGCACTTCGGTTTTCTCGGTTAAGTATCGGCTAGCCTCGTTCCGTTAGACCTTCTCGTTACCTTGCCGCAGGCAGTAATTTCGACGTTGTCGTCGTCGTCGTCGTCGTCGTCGTCGTAGTTCATACAACTGGATCATCTATTAATTTGAACCATGATGTTACGCTTGAAATAAATTTCTAAGCGTCGTGTCGGCATGCTTTCACGCGAAGTTACGAAATTACGGCGCTCTGCCGTGACGAAGATCCACGTCATCGATATAATTACGCCTTACAGATTTTCGTTCCTCTAATGTCCTTCTACGCTTATATCTGCGACTACTTCCGCGCGATGTCGTAACACTTTGAGGTTTTTCTTGAAGGAATACGAATATTCGTGTAATTCGAAATATATCGTTAGAGATCGAATTTCAAAATTTCTGATTTTTTTACCGCGAAGAGTAACATCAGATTTTCGACGTTTAATTACAGAGCCCAGACGCTGGAGCGCGGCGGATGTGGCGGCTTGGGTGCAGTGGGCCAGGCGGCAACTGCAATTGCCCTCGGTGCCGATGGAGAGTTTCAATGTGGATGGCGCGACGCTAACATCCCTCACGGAGGAGGAATTTTGTCAGAGAGCTCCTCAGGTGAGCGTAAACTTTTGTCTGTTTCACTTTAGTCGAAACTGAATCGCGGGAATGCTAGAGAATTGTATATGGATTACAAAATATTTTTTTTCCGTTTTTTTGCGACAAAAATTTTGCTGAGTAGCGTTTTTTCTTGCAATTTTTCTGTTTTCGACATTAAACATTTTGAGACCTATTGTAAGAAAAATTTAGCATCAATTTCTTATTCTTTATTCTTTGCTTTTACATCTTGTCGCGTCCGACTTTTATTTTCTCGCACACTTCGTGTTAACCGCGTGCACGACTCGCAGCTTTGACGTGTACCGTTACGCAATGCCTTGCGTCTGCGATGATCGACCTCGTCGCCGTCGGTGATCGTACATGCTTTCGACGAATCAATCAGCGGCATGATTTTCAAAATGCTTTTATTTTACGTTGAAGTAAGGAGGTCTGACGCGCTGGCGGAGAGCAAAAAAAAAAAACACTTAAATTTACGCACGGGTTTTTTTGCATAACATCCTTTCCGTATGAATGCTCGATGATGTTAGCAACAATAATAAAGTAATACTCAATCTTGCGAAAATGCGTTCTTATCTGCCTCATTGATATCGTTGGATTTTTCGCGGGACTTATCTCTCGTCGCGTCGCGAAAATTTATAATAGAGTTTGCATTTATCGCGGCAGTTGCCGCGTGATGCGTCTATTTTGTTCGTAATTTATATTTTTGATAGAAAAACTATTTAAATAAACACGTATTTAAAATTATTTAAATTATTATCTCAAACTTATTTGTTAATTAATTAATCTTGAATGAATATCAGGGTTTATGAGCGAGAGTAAAGCGTGATATAATAACATGATGGATGCGAATTGGTAAAAGTTGTGAATTTACGTCTCGGTGAAATTATGGCAATTAAATTTAAGTTTGACAACCAGGAAAGTTATCACGCAATCAGTGAGCGAGATTCTGACTTCATTACCTTTATTACCGTAACGATCCGTGATCGTCGTGAGCAAGTTCGCGTTTGTATACGATGAGGAAACCGAAGGGGGACTTGAGAAATGTCCGTTGTCGAGGTTCGGTGAAAGTGAATTTCCTGGTAATCGACGCGCGCGTTTACGTTCCTTCCGCGTAATTCGTACCCGAGAAATAAATGGTAAAACATACGCCGCCCAAGATTTCGACATAACGGAATTCCCCCGAGAATCATCTGGCGCGTGAAAGTTACATGTTTGCGTCAGGGATACGGTTTCAGGAAAAAGAGGCCCTTCAAGATTGTCCAAGGTTGTCGGCATCTCTCTTTATCAATTCCTTTTTTTTACCAGATTGAAACTTACTCGTCAGTAATCTGATATTACAAGTACCAGCGAGAAAGTTTGACCAAAATATTCTAACATAATATGTAATAAATAAATTCTAACATAAATATGCCCCTGTCGTCTTATTTCGAATGAAACAATATTTTACATTATCATATGTATCGAATATTTTCGCATGTCGCAATCTTGTCATATAAAATAGTGACGAGATCAATTTTGATTAGAAATATGTGCCCAGCGCGCATTTACACCTGCATATAAATTCAATCTTCTACATTACAAATAATATTTGATTTAAGATTATGCGATTGCAAATACAAAGTTCGATTAACACATAAAGTAACTTAATTACTTACAAGGCAACGTTGATGATCAGTCGTTGATTATTTGACGAATCAAAGTATGAAATTATCTTACGAATACATCATTATTCCAAGAGAACTAAGAAAATAACAAATTGCGACGACTTCTCTTCGCTGGCTTTCCTGGATACTTGTGCATACAATTCACATTAAATCGCTTATTAAGTAACAAGTTTTATATCCATCGACATCGAGCGTGCTAAAAACCGGTTGCGCCAATATTGATTATACCCACTGCCGACTGTAGTTAACCCTAAACTTGACAAAGCTACGATAAAGCTGGGAAATTGAACTTGACATTGTATTGTAAAACGAAGTATCATTTTACAACAAATTAATTTTTCCCAAGAAGAGCGCAATTCTTTTTTTACAGCTACAATACTTTTTACTCGTTGATTATTTTTATTAGTATGATGATTGTAGTAAAAAAGGATGGAGAGAGCAAGATACATTTCCTCGGGTTATCTAAGAATGAATTTTTTCTCCGCCACTTTCCTGGGTTTGTTGAAGAAAAACAGGAAATATTATCAAAGTCAGTTAAAAACCTGTAACATTAACGATGCAGCATAAACCCCGGATGATTATGTTATGTTTTTAAATCGTAAACAGGTAGATCTCTGGAGTCCCGTCGATCGATGTGCATCTCATTATTCGATGAGAATTACAGGCGTAAGTCTAACGGAAATTAATAGCGAGTAAAGTAGCTATGTGTGTATGGCGAATGGCGAGCAGCGGGGAAGTAGTCATGCATAATGGATTCCGCTTTGCGTCTAGTAATTGGATAATCGCGCTACGAAGTACCGCGGTAGAGTTCTCGTAGCGTGGAATCATGGTCAGGCTTATGGTCACGTTCTATCTGCGATCTCGCCAAGTCCTTTCCTCGTTTCGTTCGTGCTCCGCTGACGCGACGTGCGGTCGAGTTTCCTTCGCGGACTTCATTCATGGTTCAACTCACAAATGTGCACGCGTACTTCGCATCATCCGGCGGCAAAGGTTCTACTCCGCTAATTGACTCCGCTATTTAACTTTACAGCTTGTAAAGTCGCGATTTAATCCGGTGAATTTAAAATTAATTATAATTGTACAGTTTTTTCTTTTAGAACTGTACATTAACCGCTTTCTCGAATTCTTGCTAATGCGATGCTGCAGATAGAATTGGAGAAAATACGCGTAAGGAAAATTTTTTCCGGATTACTATATAAATTTTCTCGGAATTGAGCGAAAGGTGAAATATCGAAAAAAATGAAAGAGCAGAAAATTGGATTGCACATTTAATGAGTGGCGTTTAATGCTGACGTGTAAGCCCCGGACGAGTCATGCCACATTCGCTCCTCGAGGAAATAATTACGGCATTCTTTGCGGTTTGGCATCGCGTTTTAATGGCGGCGATTATCGATACGCGGGAATATTTGTTTCTCGGAACATTGCGAAGTATCCGAGTATGATTGCACCGCTGGATGAGGCACCCAGGAATGCTGCGCGCGGATTACATTGATCGAAGGAAATGCCTCGTTATAAGCACCACGCGGTCTAATTTCAACAATTAAATCCTGCAGATGATCTGAACGTTTACGTTCGGAATAATATCTATAAATATCGCCCCGATCGCTCGAGATGAAGTCTCTCATCGAACGAGCATCTCGCATCTCTGGATCTCGATACGTTTGTACATACGCACCGCGATGGTAAGCGACGCAAAAGATGTAACGGCGCTGCAAAACCGCGTCCGAAATGAATGTGCGTTCGTGCGTGCGTGCGTGCGTGCGTGCGTGCATGCGTGCGTATATACCGCTTCTCGGACGCTCATTCCGCGATCAGCAGGATCGGCTTCGCCGTGCCTACCGGTGCGCGCGCCATTGGCTCAGCAGAAACGATCGAGAAGTGGGTCAACCGCTCGAATGTCTTGCCTGCTGCGTTGCGTCTCTCTCGACGGAGCCGCTTTCTCTTCTCTCGCGCACAACGACTCTTCCATTGGAATTCTAATGCTCGTGACGCACTTCTCCGTCTCCATCTCTCTTTTTCTCCTTCCTTTTTATCTCGCGTCTATTCTTCCCCGCGTGCTCGCCTTTCATCTATAATGGCCTCCCGTGACTTTGAAGGCAACCGAGTAAGTTTTGGTTTTCAATGCACTTCGAATACCTAATACGTGATAGACCGCGTGAGTTTGACCTGTTGAAATAGAAATAGAATAGAGCATCGATGATTGCGTTTTTAATACGTATATAGAAATGGCAATAGAATGACGAAGTTATATAAATGATCAGGCTAATAATGCCGGTACGACGATGTTTAATGTTAAAGTGCGGGAGCATGCTGCACGCGCAGTTGGAGATCTGGAAGGCCGCCGTCGAGGAGTCCCCGCGGAACACTCTGGCTGCTTCCTGGAGTCCCGCGGGGGTAGTTCAATCCCCGAACAGCGCCGGAACGCCGACAGTTGGAAATACCACGGCGGTCAGCCTCAAAGAATCTCCCTGCACCGTAGATTTCTCAGACGGTACGTTATATGCTTTTTGTATCATTTAGCGAACGATTATTAACTATTCGTGCGCGAATAGTAAACTCGTTTAATGAAAAAATAGAGTAAACCTGTATTTTGTTGCCTGATTCCACGCGTGAATCAAACATAACAGTGCGAAGTTGAATTTGACTAGTACTGACAAAAAAAATACGACATTAGGTACATTCTCGCATATAGTCAGTACATATATACAGTTTCGCTTCTCACCCCTCACCTCTTGCGTCCCCCTGATTTTCTGCGTGCAGACGAGGATGAGGATTGCGCTTCCGCTCAAGGTGGTAATAGCAGCAACGGCGGTACTGGCGGCGGCAAAATGCGCAACGGCGGCAGTCACATTCATCTGTGGCAGTTCCTGAAGGAGCTGCTGCAGAGCCCGGGCGTTCACGGCTCCTGCATACGCTGGCTGGACCGCAACAAGGGAGTCTTCAAGATCGAGGACTCGGTACGCGTGGCGCGACTCTGGGGCAAGCGGAAGAACCGGCCTGCGATGAACTACGACAAGCTCAGCCGCAGCATCCGGCAGTACTACAAGAAGGGCATCATGAAGAAGACGGAGCGGAGCCAGAGACTGGTATACCAGTTCTGCCATCCTTACTGTCTATAAGAGAGACTCCCTCCGTCTCTCCTTCCGCCTTTTCTCTCCTTTCCGCGCTTCCTTCTTCGTATTACAAGCCCTCTCAATCTCTCTTCCTTTGCGCGCATAGGCGCCCGCGATCTGGAGCGAGGAGTGACCTAAGGAAGACTCCGACACAAAGATCGAAAGGTAAAAAAAGAGAAAAAAGAAATAATGATCCGCCGTGCTCGATATTATCCCGCGACGATAACGCCGAGCCACGGCCGGGTCCGCTTTTAGTACGCCCGTTTTGGGCGATCACTTTTGCCTTACGTTTATTCCCCTCCTTTCCCACTCCCTTTCACTTTCCTTCTCTATCTCCTGTGCGTGTATATGTGCGAGTGTGTCTTCGAGTTTTTTCTTCTTTTTTTTTTTAAATAATATTTTATAAGCAGGCGATTCTCCACCAGGTCGCTCTTTCGTTTCGACGTGAGCTTTCGTCACGAGGCGAAGACGCGAGCGGGTGGAAATTCGCCAGAGAAAAGGGAAGAAATGACTCTTTCCTCTCTATTCTCACGATCGCTTGTCGGCACCAGTTCGTCGGATCCTCGAGCTGTCTGGTAACGCACGCGATACGTCCATGGGGGACACCACACATGCAGTGCGCGGAACTATTCGCCGCTGCTTGGTGCCCGTTTTCGCTGTTTCTCGAAGCTGATAACGAAATCGGAGACGAAGTCGGGGGACAATCTATTTTTTATACGAAGAATTTTTCCAAACACACCTGCGCGCTACAACAACCGTCCTTCCGTGTTGCGTCGTAAACGAGCAAAGGTACGGAGAACAAGGAAGAAATGAAATGTCAATCTGCAATTATAGCATCGCGTAATGTCACGCGTGTTTAACGAAAGATGAAAATATCTTCGCCGACATAATCATTACCTGTTCGCGACGGGATAAGATTGTTAATTACATTTTTGAGCATCTTACGACCTCTGACACCCGCGAGGTTCGCGGAAATATTTTTACTGATGCGCGCAGGTGTTTATTAAGTTGTCGAGAGAGTGCCTTAGACGCGTGCGGTGGGAATCGCGATGATGAAGGACGTGCCGCGTTTCAAAGCCGTGAGGATTTCCGATCGGATCACGGTCGGCGGTCGTCGCGTTGTCAATCGAGAAATTTTACCCTGAATCGTCTGTATCGCGATCGAGGACTTTCCATTCGGGAGAACGGCGAGAAAAGGAGAACAATTACGGCGATCGCGTTGCTCTCGAGGCGTCCCAGCACGGCTGGTGCTGGTGATTTTGGTCCCATATATCTATGATATATTAAATACTGTATGTTCCATGAACGATTAGGCTTTAAGACCAATTAGCTGCGTAAGTGTATCGGGGACTCACGTGAGTCACCCTTAGGTTACTCGAAGAGATTTTCTTCTTTATTCTCTTTCTTCTCTTCTCACACTTGTGTTTCTCACTGCAACGTTCGCGCGATCGCGATTGCGACGTCGATCGCGTCGAGCTTTTATGCTTTTAATTCGTAAGCGGCTCTCATGCGTTTTCTATACCTTTCGTCTTTCTTTTCACCGCACATGATGCTTGTTTATAGTAAGTTCGGAACTTAACTTTCGAAATAATTTCATTGCGCTGCTCCATTTCTATATATCATGCAAATTATCGGGATTGGGGTTCATGTATATCATTCTCTATCGCTTTCTCTTATATATAAAATACTTCCTTTGGATATTTTAATAATGCTCGTTTGCGATTTTGAGTTACGCATATATGAAATACAATTAATATAGAATTTCGCAAATTTCGATGTAATTAAGCGTAAGTATTTTACTAACGTGTCCACGTTCGCTCACCAATCGGTTGTATATAAAAGACATGTATAGCATAACCATTTTATATATTTGTTTTATTTATTTAATGGAGTCTGTTTTATAGTTGAGACATAATATGATCTTGCCGTGTAACGCTGGAAGCGTGGCATTCCGTTGATGCCGATTCCGTGTGACTGATATCGGTACCGTTTCAGCTCGCTCGTGTAGATTTCACGGAGTTAACGTCGAAGAGATTATTACCGCTGCTGTTTCTCGGCCGTGCGAAAGTGCAATCGATGAACAGTGCAATTACGTCCGTGCATCTGTTAGACTTGAATCATTCTCAGCTCGCTTTGCGCGACGTCCATTGTTCAGAATCGTAATAAATAGAATGGATTTAGCACGTTGTTGCGAAGAAGTTGAAAAACCGACTTGCATTTATTTTCTTGACATTTTGCTAAGTATTCACGAACGAGGACGAACTATTTTTTTTTATTATGATTCTAACATAATGACTCATGAGTTTAACGTTGTTTGACTTGAATTGGTATTTGCGACGGATGATAACGTTGCAAATTACCAATTCGACAAATAACTTTAATGACAATATTTGGGTTGCTGAAGAATTCAAGTCCCTTGTTTCGAACGCAGAACTTAAAGCGAAAGAATACGGCAGCGCGAACGAGCGAATACTCGATCTGTATGGAACCCAGGTCTGTCGGGGAAATGAATTTGCTCGCGTAATTAGATCGTAAAGCGCGCTTCCACGGCTGCTGGATTTCTACGACGCGATACATAATTTTTTTTATGCCGCCTGGCATGGAACGCTCGTCAAATCGGAAGTAGACCGAGGCGGAACTTCAAAACATCATTGTTTTAATGCATTTAAATTAAAACAGAGAAATATTACGGACATATTATATGAGAAACAGCATTCGGATTGATTTTATTTGCGACTTCGATTTTTCGGCACAAGATACGATTCGTCTTCAGTTGATATGTTTTATCGATAGTTTGAAACGGTACGTAAATTCTTTTTCTGTTATTTCAAAAATTTATATAAATACATACAACACGAAAAATGTCTTTCTCTTGACAGAACAATACAGAGACTTTGGCGATCGCAAAAGTGTCTCTATATTGAAGATCGTCCGTTTCTGTGCCAGGTATCATGGCATTCTGTAAGTTTAACGGTAGTTGGTTCTTCAATTCCGCGATAAAGCGCAAGGGAGACCCGAAAGCGGGAAGGCAGGGAGTTTATCCTCGATAGCTACACAATAACGGAAAGGAAGAATGCAGTTCGTTGACACGGACAAAACCAAGGAGCGCGAGTTAATTTTGCAGCTAAGCAGAGAGGCGGGAAATGATAAGATCGGGCAAAACGAGACGAGTATAACATTGGATAATAGATCCCAATCGCGCGATATAACATCACAGAGCGGCTATTGTTGTGTATAACCGACTGTTTATTTATTAAATTATTAATTGCTAAGGTAAAATTGTAAGACTAGAGATAATGCGAATATTTTTTTAATATAACGCGTTTGTCAATAGACGTATTTCTTGTTTGAAATTAAAATAACTTTTCTTAATGTCGAAGAAGTCGACATTTCTTGTAGCACAAATAATTAAGAAATGAGAATTCATTGAAACAAACCGTAGGATTCCGATGACAATAATGAAAAAAAGTTTTAATATTACTCAACATTTTCATAAATAAAAAGAAATTATCCCGTTCACCAAATACGTCCATTGTCAAGCGTCACACGTATGATAAGGGGTATATATAGTTGTTATCGAATCGTTATGAAATTTCTAATGTTGGAGTTTATTAAAACCGGTGCAATTTATTTATCTTGCTGAGAGAAAGCGACGAAAAGTGGCTTAGTGAGAGAAAATTGTGCTTCCATTTTCCCAGTGATCTTTGGCAATCGGAACATAATTGTTGACGCGCGTGCGCGTTAAATCTTTGTAAATATTTGTGACTAGCACGAGAGAGAGCATATCTTTATCCCTAGAACTCATGTATCATTTTTTTGACCTTCTAACGCATGACTGGGGGCAATATCGACCCCACGCTTTATTTGATCGTAAAACCGGTCCTACAGAAATAAAGGGCCTTTAAACCTACATGAATTTCTTCGTTTTTTAATAACGAAGAGAATGGTATACGGTAAATTTAATTTTACTCAAGTTTAGTTAGTGAAAAATCCACTTAAAGACCGAAAAACGCAGAAAATCAGCAAAAACCTCTTTTTTTAAACAAAAATTTGTATCTTTTTTTGTAATCAACCGATTTTCAAAATTCAAACGGGGTTTTAAAGAGGACACATTAGACTTAGAAAAAAATTGCCATCGCTATGTTCTGTTCAAAAAGTATATTTATTTGGGACTATAAAGATGAAGAAATTCGCAAAGTTGAAATACGGAAAAAGTCGATGAAAAAACCATAAAAAATTGTATTTTAAGTATTATTTCATTTTTATTTGATACAAAATAGTAAAAAATATGAAAAAACTGAAACATTATATCGCCCAGCGATTTTCTGCGAAATGTCAATCTTCTATAGGCAACGGGATTTTTACCGACTAAATTATGTGATATTTCGTCTTAAATAATATTTATGACTATTTATGCTCAGATTACGTAATAATACATGATATATATTGATTCTAGCAAAAAAATAAAATTAGCTTACCGTGACGAAACTCAAACGGCAACTCACGACTGGGGTCAATATCGACCCCACGCACGCTTTGCGACGGTGCTGTTTCACTGCCAGCGAACAACCAACGCTGCGCCCAACATAATCTTACTTTTAGAGAGTTGAAATGAATTATGGTTCAGGTCCTGAGTCAATAATGTCACTCGCTAGCTCAGGAGCAGTTCAAAGTTCGCCTGGGGTCGAAATCGACCCCTCTCATGGGTTCTAGGGTTATAACCGTACAATTAAGCCGTTGCTGGTTTTATATGAGCAGAGATTTAATTAGGATTAAGCGTTGATTTTCTACGTAACCGCGGTCTTGCTCCGCAAGACATTTTGTTATGCATATATTATATATATTTATATACGCATGTTCGACTGTTCTAATGAGATTAGGGTGGATATGGCGAGTAGACGTGGCGTGGTAATAATCGTAGTCAAGGCTGTTCTCAAAGCACGCCGATAAATTGGCATACGAGAGAACAATGCTGTCGAAAATTTGTTGCGTGGTCTGAAGATTAACATCGATTACGGGCGACTGAAACGTTTGATACATTTCGCACGCGGACTGAGATAAGCCTCGACGAAAGCAATAATATTATTATTAACGAAAAAATTATATATATATACATATATATATACATATATATATATTTTATTACGTCTACACATTTTTTGCTGCCGATATTCGGAGCGAGTTACTAACACGAAGCAGAAAGAAATAAAAAGGAATAAAAAAAACACGCGTTCGACATTTATCTCGACTCCCGTATATTCCATACTCCTGAAATTTGCGCTTGTATCATCCAGCAATCCCTCGAACTTTCGTTACGCCAACGCTGAAAAAACGAAACGCACTTTTTGAACATATATTAAGAATCGCCCGGCAGAAAGGCGAAAGCGACGTGGTGAAAGTCTTTTGGTCGAATTTCTAATCGTCGCCGATCAATGGGCAAGTGAATCACCGTATCTAAATTCCGCACACGGTGTAGCAAACATCCTCACAGTAGCTCGTTAAGAAAACATACTCCTTTTTTGCCACAACTGGTGATTCGAAGAATATTTTTGTGTATCTCCCATAAATATATATTATAACATATATATTACACAATATAGAACACTTTCATATAACACGGAGAATGTATTATCATATGAATCCATTATTCGAGCAGTCACATAGATCATGAGTATACATATATGGATTATGCATATGAAAACACATGTTTATAAAAGATGTAAAGGTTTGCTATAAAAAATGCAAAATGAATGTTAAATATGTAACGTAAAATTTATTTTATTTTATTTTAAAACAAACAAATATTAAAATTTTTCTGTCGTGTTGTACGAACCCGTAATTAAATGAGGAGTCTACTACATAATATACTTTAAAAACAGTATCTCTCTGATTCTTTTTTTGTCTCTTATATAATATTCTATAGAACAGTGGCTCTCCCTTGACATTTTTGCGCCTATTTACCGCGAAATCGAAAAGGATATTCCACAACTCCATCGAGTACTTCCACAATTCTAATTGATATTAATCTCTCATACATATAATCCTTTTTTACATCGCTAGTTTCGTCCGCGAGCGATACACGTATGTATAAACTTCATCCGATTGCTCGCCGATAGCCACGACGGGGGAGTATTTACTCTTGAGAGGGCGATTCCTCGGGGGCGATCCGACCGAGTGAGTCGGGCATTCCAATTTCAGAATCGACGTCTCTGACGGCGCGAGGAAGAAGGGAACGCGGCCGGGAGAAGGCGAGATTCTCGCCCGCGCCATAAAGATTCGTATCGCTCTGGAAACGTCGAGGAGGAGCGCGCGAGGAGGCGTGCTCTTTCTCTCTCTCTTTTCTCTCTTGCCTTTCTTTCCTTGCACCCTCTCGTGCGCTCGGTCGAGATGGGCGTCCCTTTTCGAGATTTACGACGATTTAATCGCGCAATTAATCTAACACCTTGTTGCAACAACACTTCGCGCCGGAGCGGCGGCGGGGAAATAAAAATTTCGAGCGCACAAGGGGGGGGAGGGAGAAATCGGGGGGCCCCTCTTCGATCTATCGCGGTCGGTATCGCGGGGTCGATGGAGGAGCGCGAGGCTTAACCACGTGTTAAAGGGGAGTAACGAGCGCGCAGCGGCCGCGGTGGGGCCGGGAGGAGGGCAGGGAAAAGGGGCAAAGGGCGAGAGAAGAGATAGCCGCGGTTTCATGGTGCGCGCGCGCGCGTAGGGCAATCATAAGCGCCGCGAAGGACCGCGATAAATGTGTCTCCGCAGTTTTTGATCGGGCCGCCATTGTTTCGCGAGCGGCAAAGTAGTATTAAGAGAGAGAGAGCGCGGATACGTATCGCTCGGAATACGAAAATTCTTTGGTATCGACGTGTTACGATTCTTTCTTTGTATACGTGTAAAACTTTTCATCAACGCAACGGAGGATGACACATTGTTAGCGCAGCTAGCGAATCAAACAAAACTGCTAATACTCTAGCATACTAATGAAATAAGATTCAATCTATTTTTATAGCAGTTAAATACGCGACTAAGTAGAATTGATTTTTTTACAAGCGTTAATTATACTTGATTTTACACGTCACCTAAAGAAAAGTTAAGAAAAATCTGAATGCTACGTTTTACACAACATACTTACGCTATAGATATATTAATACTAAGCTGTATGAGAGCCCAATATTGAAAAATGTATGTACATTCGGCGATATATATAGCTATAATATATAGTTATATATAGCTATAAAACAATGTTACGCAGTTATGTAAAAAGCAGTCCCATCTCGGCATCATAAACTCGCGGAAATTTACGTAAATTCAATTTCCGTCCGACGCGATCATCGAAAGCGAGGCGTATATATATAATTCGTCTTGAGATCCTCCAGGCTGTTGTTCTCGGCGACGTACAGACGGCGAGGACACCCCCGCAAACGCTCGCGCTCGCTCTGTGTGTACGACCAAGGACAACAACATTCTCCGCAAAACTAATTGCCAGGTAAATATATACGAACAACGATCGAGCGGTGTGCGCGCGCGTTTGTGTGCGCGCGTCGCGGACGACACACGCGGGGGCCCCCGCGGGGCCCCCGTTGTCTATACGTCGGAATTTATTGCGGCCTGCCCGGAGCGGCCGATAGCGGGCGGTGGAGAGGGGAGGGGGGGGGAGAAAGAGAGTCCGGAGGCCCTCGTACGAGAGCGCGTAATTTATGCTCTCATTATGCAACAACCGAGATTCATTACGAGCGACACGCGTTGTCTCGCGGATTCGGAGATCTCGATCTCGCGCAGGGGACAATCCCGATGGGGCGATGGTGTCGAGAAGCGCGACCGGGAAGGTCGTGCCCTCTCGATGGCGCTTTGAAAATCGGGGTACCATCCTGCGCGCGATTTGGAGATCATATAGAGATAGAGATCGCACGTGGGGAAGGCAGCTACGGGAAAATTTTATTTTACATGCGAGAAGCCTGGGTGTAATCTGTTCTTTGAGACGTAGAATGTTCATAACTCAAGTTTATTTCCTTTTTTCATGTGATGTATGGTTATTCGATGCGAGCGGTGAGCTGCGTAAAATTCACAACTGCGCGGATTTTGCGTTTGACCGAATCGCGAAATTCGATGTAATACAGACGGTAAACGTTTCTCACCCCTTCAAAGTCTGCATTCCGAATTATTCTCGAAGAGACCTTCTGCGGAAGAATTGTGTGTGTCAGGCGATTGAGAAAAATGAGGCTAAAAGAATAAAAATCTTGAAACGCGAAGTTTATCGAAACATTTGATATGTCTTCAACGATATCTACAGCTATTACATATTATGCCATGCATTTACACAATTGTAGGATTCCCGGGTCTTCTTATTATGATTTTATGTAAAGAAGGCTATTTTATCAAACGAAAAATTGCTGCATTGAAGCCAGCGAGAAGTGCGTGTGCCCTCTCGTGCCCCTTGACCCGCTTTATCGCGGGGATCGAGGCAGGGGGAATAGAAGGAAGCGCGCAAACTGCAGGCAGGGGCTCTCGCAGGGGGTGGGTGCCCCGCCCAGGCGCGTTGCATCGCGGAAACTATCGGTCGCCGTAGTGGGCCGCGCTGCGCCTGTAATCTCCGTGGGCCGGGGCCCGTAACCGCTCTTCGGCCGGCGCGGCGCGGCGCGGCGACAAAAAACCGCCGGAGAATGAAATACGGATTACAGTGGTTGGGCCGGGGCCGGATAATGGTCGGATAATGATGACCCCGGCGCCGATTGCCCTCTCCGCTACCACCGCCCGCCACGGCCCCAGCACGGCCCGGGGATCACATTTTCCCCGCCTTTTTCCCCGTTTCCCTGCTCCCCTCCCGCCGCGCCGACGCGCCCGCGCCGTCTCGCTCCATCGCGCTTCTTTATCGCGTATATCAAGATTTCCATACGAACTTGCGCCCCCGACGATATATCCGCGGCGGCCGCGGCGTGCAACTCGCTGCGTTTCTCACGCGCATCGCGCGCATACGCTCGCGAGTGCATCGGCCTCGTCGGCATTATAAGGGAAAAAGAAGGAAGCGATCGAGGAATTTCCGCCACAGATCGTTCCGAGGCTCTCAGAACGATCTGTGCGTTTCGACGACGGAATCTTGAATTCGATTTAAGTATTCGGACGCATCGGGTAAATCTCCAAACGATCTTAGATCCTAACGATGGGATTGTGGGCAATTATTGCGACTAGTGATGGGATTAAGTATCTTACGAGTAGTCTCGAATCTATCGTCGTGGTTTCGAACTCTTTATGATTCTTTCGAATAAAAGCAATACTTCAAGCTAGTATATTCGAAGCTGGATAAAATGGATTAAAACCCCCTATGAGTGTACTTACTTCGAAAGACGAGAGTGTTACTTCCAAGTAGGCTCGAACCTGAGTCAAATGTGTTCGAATCTTTTATGAGTACTTAAAAAATGTAATGTGTAAAACAAAATGTGTGTATATATATTATATATATATATATTATATATCATACAAATATCTGTATATTACAATTTTACAAAAAATAACTTATATGATAATAATAACAGATTCGAATACTATACTTGTAAAATTCAATTCTTCATGATAGAAACTACTTATAAGTTTTGAATGCTGATGAAGGCACTTATTCTAAAATTCGAAACTAACTAATCGACATTCGATTACTTCGCAACTACAATGTATAAAATATTATTTTTTATCATGAATATTACTCAAATAAAAAAAATCAAACTCGATTATTAGATTTAAGTACATATTAAATTTGATCTCATCCCTAATTATCTTGATTGATCGAGGTATCGGAGCAGCTGCGAGGGATCGTAAGTTCGGATTGCAAGTCTCATTTCGCAAGATTCTTATTTTTATCACTATCTCTCTCTTTTATATATCTTTCTTTTTATTATCATACGCATTAATTTATATTATTTATGTTACATTATATAAATCACGTCCGACACTCGTGCAGTCATTTCTTGTCTCTTTCGTTACGCGTGCGAAAGGATTAATCTCACCGATAAATAAATAAATAAAATGACACTCGCGCGGCACCGCTTCGATTAATGCGCTCGAGTGTGTGTGTGTGTTCGCGCGCGACGGCCGTCGAACAAACACTTATACACACCACGCCGATTGGTACCGATGAAATAAATCAGGCATCGATCGCGCGGGGGAGGCCGGCGCGGCGCGCAGACGCTCGCTCGTACAGGTGGAATTAATGCACGAAGATTTCCGATATATCGAGAGCGAGCCGCGAGAATAAATCAGTCGCTGTACACGGGGAACACGACTCGCCGCGCCGTGAGCGGCGCGCGAAAGCGCGGCCGATGAGACTCGGCGCGACGGATCGGCCGGGCAAATCCGTTAAATTCCCAGCGTCCGCTAAGACGATTCGGCTGAACGGCTGAAGACGATCCCTCGCGATTAGAATTTTAAACGAGACGCGAATGGTTCGCTAACCGCTCTGTAGACTCCTTTCCGGAAACGCACGTTTTGCGGACGCGCCGCGGGGCGTCCGAGACGAATTAACGACCGTCGCGCGCGGTTGACCGCGACCCCAGGAGATCGCTCGGACCCCTGTGAAACCGATCGGCGAGAGCGAGGTGTCGACGGGATCGGCGCGCGAACGCGAACATAAATCCAAATTAGCGGCAACTTAACGCGCAACCGTGCGCCGATCGATCCTGTCCTCTCCTCGCGTCTTCGAATGACAGTAAATCGCGAGGGTGAGGATCTATCGGCCTCGGTTGATCGCTCGAGCGCCGACGCGCGTTTCGAGGGCACGTTTCGCGCGATTTATAGACGGTATATATATTTACAACTTCGTGAAATCGTGATATCTGATTTTGATTTAAAACTGCGTTTTTGTTGTTATCATTCGTGTTTAATTGTTTATAAAAGTTAAGAGAATTAGGGAAAAAATGCAACAATATATATGATATTATTGAGTAAATATGCTCATTTATATGAAGCATCTATATAATAATAAATCGTGAATTTAATATAAACCGATTGTACATTATATTTATTATTATATTTATATTTATGTCAACGTCAAAAATTTTATACCAATAATTGATAATGTCAATACCTTCCATTACCTTCCATTACATCTCCCCAGACGGTAATCGGGAAAATTTACCTAAAGTTGATAATTAATAATCTTTGATCTCATAAATTAATCTGAATTAATTAATAGTCGCAAATCGGGACGCGCAGCATTCCGATCTTGTTAGCATTTATAGTAATTTACGTAGCAAATAAATCGGCGTGAAACATACAAATACAAGAAATATATTTTTCAATATCGATAAGTTTGTGAATTAGAAACTTTGCGTTTCCACCGCACGAGATCACTAAATTCGCCTTCAATCTTCAATCACATAACGCCACCTGCGTCACTCTCGCTATCAGTGAGCGAAGGTCACGCGGAGTGTCTTTGAGGTATATTAGGAGTACGTGCTCGCCTCGCACGAAAATTTTCACGATCATTTGACGTGACGTCCACTGCCGTCGACATGCTGCCCCGATTCCTCAGGCCCGCCATTAATGTCAGCCAGCAAGGCGCAAAACGACTGTCCACGAGCGCCACGGTAAAGTATCGTCGAAAAACGAACCGCAAAACCCACTCTCAATCTGTTCCCCACAAATCGGCCGGAAATTAATTAACGCTCGACAAATATATCGCATGTGTGAGTAGAATGGTAACATCTTTACATCGTCGTACATCATTGGATCGCGATGCTGCAATCGTAATCGGAACATCGTTATGCAACTGCAAATTCGGCTCCAACGCTGATACGTTAAACTGGCACATCAAAATCTTAAATTTGCTATTGAAACTTGATTGCAAAAAAGGAAATAATTCTGATTTACCATAGACAATCTTTTTGTGTAGCTGGATCCTTTATGCTTACTTGAAAAAATGAGCTAAAAATAAATTAGTCGAAACATTGCGTTTAACGTCAGAATTGGAGAAATCTTTAAGTGAATCAATTGGGAGTATAATAATTTAAAAAATTTAACGGAAACCGAAGGTTGTTTTCTCAATTATACCTCCTTAATCGCCTGGATTTTTTCGAAATGCTCTAATATCCCAACTGTGTTCTTTTTGCAGCGCAATGCAAAAGTCAGCGTCATGGGAGCAAGCGGTGGCATCGGCCAGCCACTGTCGTTGCTTCTCAAACAGTCGCCTCTGGTCACGGAATTGTCGCTGTACGATATCGTAAATACGCCTGGTGTTGGTGCCGATCTCTCGCACATAAATACCCCTGCGAAAGTCAAAGCTTACAACGGTCCGGAACAGCTCAAAGACTCTCTTAAAGGCGCTCAGGTATGTCATTACGATACAAAAGATTATATCAGTATTTGGATGATACAGTTTGTGCTACAAAGATTTAAAAGTTTGCTTTTTTATTTAATTCATTAAATTGAAAGTAATCGTCTTTGTTTTGGATTTTGACGACTTATTAATTTTCTGGGGACTATTTTTAGGTTGTCATCATACCTGCGGGCGTTCCACGTAAACCGGGCATGACCCGCGACGATCTGTTCAATACGAACGCCTCTATCGTCCGGGATCTCGTCGTTGCGATGGCCGAAGTCGCGCCAAAGGCCTTCGTGGCGATCATCTCGAATCCGGTCAACAGCACAGTGCCAATCGCGAGTGAAGTGCTACAGAAGGCAGGCGTCTACGACCCTAATCGCGTATTCGGAGTGACCACCTTAGATATCGTTAGGGCGAACACATTCATCGCGGAAGCGAAGGTATTAAATGTGACAAATTGTGTAAAATAACGAAGCGAACGTTTTTAACTTACTTGACATCCTTGACATAAACAAAAATGATCTGCTATACGTACATTTTGAAAGTTACTACGGCAACCGTAATAAACTAGACTTTCATCTGTTTTGACAGATGTGTCTCGGTTACTCGGAACGTTATTTCTTTCAACGAACATTTAGCCTCAGATTGTTCCATACGCAAATATTAAGCATGACAGTAATATGAGAAAAACAGATTTATAAAATTTATTTTTCATTTTTTATATGATCCCAATGAATGCAATGAATAATTAAAAAACGTTGAATGCAATATTTAATTATTACGTTTTGCTCAATATAATTGAGCCGGGACGATAAAAATGTGTCACTTTATTTTCCAGCTTTCGTAATTGGGAAAAAAATAGCTGCTAAGACAGACGGTTAATTTTTCAGGGCCTTGATCCGCTGAAAGTCAACGTCCCAGTCATTGGGGGACATAGCGGCATTACCATCATTCCGTTGATCTCGCAGTGCACGCCGTCAGTTTCCTTCCCGGATGATCAGCTGAAAGCGCTCACCGAGAGGATCCAAGAGGCCGGTACCGAGGTCGTTAAGGCCAAGGCGGGAACTGGATCCGCGACTTTGTCCATGGCTTTTGCCGGCGCGCGATTCGGTCTCTCGTTAATCAGGGCGTTGAACGGTGAAACGGGTATTATTGAGTGCTCGTACGTCAAATCGAATGTCACTGACGCCAAATACTTCTCTACGCCGATACTTCTGGGCGTAAGTAGAGACATAATAAACCTTATGACATCGTATTAATACATTTGATGCCATACATTTCGGAAATATATGGCTTTAAACAGAAAATTATCTCCTCTTAAAAAAAATTATTTTTTCCTCTTAAAAAACTATTTTTAGGATAATGTGACATATTTTAACTGTAATATTCAATTATTGTTATATGGGATGTTTTGTAAAACAAGTATAAACAACTTTGATTTTTTTAAGGGAGACTATTTCAAGTAGAGAGCGTTATATAAGAATATGCTTTATTCTACTTAATTATATCATTATAAGAGATCAAAATTTTATGGATTTTCAGAAAAATGGACTTGAGAAGAATTTGGGATTGGGTAAACTAAGCAGCTTTGAGCAGAAACTGCTGGACGCCGCCATCCCAGAGCTTAAGAAAAATATTCAGAAGGGAGAAGATTTTGTAAATAAGAAGTGAAATCTCTGTCGAGCCTAGCTGAATAGAGCGTAATCTGTCGAGTTGTACGTGAGAATTGCCTTCGTTGCTCACCTTGCAATCATGATAAATTGTCAATAATTGAAATTTTTTGATCGCGAAATTTTCAATTCTTCCAACCTGCCGACATGCATGTAAACGTGTAGAACCACGGAATAGATTATCGAATATTAAGATTACATATGTATTATAAAAGAAGTATGTATTATAGATGGAAAATATATAAACTGCAGAGGAAGATTATATCTACAAGATATAAAATAACATGTAAAGAATGTATAAAATAAGAAATAAAATTATAGGACTTTACAAAATTGAAATATCCGTTTGAGCAATTTCTTGTAGCAAACATTTAAATAAACGCTCTTTCAACTAAACGTAAGAGAACGTTTCTTTCCACATATATCTTGAGATTCTTATTTGTTCGTGAATTAAATTTAAGTCCGATTTTTCTTCGAATTAAAATTTGACTTGTCTGTGTGTACTGGGTTTTTAACAATTAAATTTTACAAATTTACTTTTAGATCGATTTTAAACGATAAACTATCTAAGAAGATAAACTTAGCGATGTAACGAATTTAATTGGTAGATTTACACGCGCATGACGGGAAGTTATCATCATCACACACATGTGTAAATACCAATCCACAATAACATACGAAGTACACAACCTTGAGACAGGCAATAACGAACTTTCAGGCATGTAGGTAACAACGATCTTTCTGTCTCCGCAATTCGAGCGAAAATGTAAATACCAAAACACAATAACATACGAAGTAGACAACCTTCGAGACAGGCAGTAACGAACTCTCGGCCACGTAGGTAACAACGATCTTTCTGTCTCCGCAATTCGAGCGAAAATGTAACGTGATAGACGCGCTTTGAATTAAATCAGTGTAACTTAATAAAGAGTAATTAGTGCGTACAGTGATTAATAAACAAATATATTTTACGGCGAGACGCAAGC